GATATTATCTTAAGTGATTGTCTAAATATATTATTTTAATAAAATTGATTGAATAGTTAAAATTTTATCCGATAATTATATTGTCGGAGAGAATATATTCCCTATAATTCAGGGATAATTGTACGTTTTAAGCGCAAGATATTATCTTAAATGATTGTTTAAATATATTATTTTAATAAAATTGATTGAATAGTTAAAATTTTATCCGATAATTATATTGTCGGAGAGAATATATTCCCTATTTATTGCTTAATATCCCATTATTTTAACTTTATTATCTTCTTTTTAAAAAAAAATTTTAATCTTTTTTTACTGTTTGCCTAGAACGGCCCGTTCCAAACCACGTTCTACTTCCTGAAAACGTCTTCCAGAACAGTCTGTTCCAGGGCCGTTTCAGATTCAAAAAAATGTTAAAATTTGTGTTCTGGAACGGGCCGTTCTGGGCCCGTTTTAATTTAAAAAAAAGGACTCTGTATCTTTAAGCAGAACGGCCCGTTCTGCTTTCGGAACGGGCAGTTCCACTTCAAACATTTGCCCAAAAGGGGGCCAGAAACACGAAAAGAAAAAAAAATTTTAAATAACTCAGAATTCGATTCCCTGAGAACCGAATTCTGAGTTGAAAAAACAAAAAAAATAAGATTTTGAAGTTCAGAATTCGGTTCCCCGGAAATCAAATTCTGAACATGAACAGTAAACAATTCTATATTAGTAAATAAACTACAGTTGATACTTTTGTAATTTTTTTTAAAAAAAATATTATTTAAGTAAAAATTTCACCAGAATGCAGGGATTCCTTTCCCTCAATGTAATATTGAATTGTAAACGATTGGGTCATTTCACCTGACAAATCTGCCTCATCTGAAGCAATAGCTGGCACGAACAGTTCAATTTTCAAATATGAAATAAGTTAAAACCAAATTGAATTTCAATAATTCAATTCAATTCCCTCCTAAACCCAAAAATACAAGAAAAGAAAATTTAAAAATTTAAAAAAAAACACACACACACACAAAGCCTTTGAGACTCGATCTCTTCAACCAATATCTGACTGAGCATCAATAACTGAAAGTAGAAAACAACACACACCAAAAACCCAGTTTGCACTGAAGCAGTGAAAGAAAAGCATGATTAAGTGCCATTTACACAGATTCATTTGTTCAAGTGCCATTTACACTGAATTCATTTATTCAAGTACCATTACCCAGATCAATCACACATTTGGCAACAAAAAGGTTCTCCCCTTGCGTTGTAATCTTGCAATGTTGAACTTCCTAACATGAATCAAAATGAATAGATACATTAAAATGAACGAATTCCCTTTCCAGTGAAAAATTAATTAGCCAATCTACACCAAAACACCGACCCAACCAACCACTAAAAATCTCAATCTGCTTATTCTCATAATCCTCCATTCATAACTTCAAAACTGAATCCAACAACATGCCTTGACGAACCAACCCATATATCATCATCATATCATAACACATATATATAAACCAAAGAAGAAAAACTCGCAACATCAAAACTGAAACTAGAAATTGCGACAGAGAAAAAACACAATTGAACCTCAACCCCCCCAAAAAAAAAGAGAAAAAATTCTTCACAATTCAACGCAATTAACTCTTATTTGCATTCCGTTTGGACGAACTCAAATTACTAGCACCACCACCTCCCATCAACGCTTTCTTCAACTCCTCACTCGCTTCAACCTCCGTCGACTTATTAAAACCGCCATAATCCGACGTCGTTTTCTTCTCGCCCTTCCTCGCGCCACCGTTTCTCCCCTCACCAAACTCCGACCCTCCGCTTCGCACGCCGACGATTTCCCGCCGGAGATCCTCCACGGCGCTCCGCAGCAGCCCGTTCTCCGCCTGCAGAATCTCCATCTGCCGCTTCACCGCCAGGCACACGTCCGCCACGTCACCCGGGGCCGCC